GCGGCTCTCAAAAATCTCTCTTTTTTTCTTCTTCTTTATTCTGAAGACATGCGCTCCTGTTTCTGCGACTGAACCACATATATACAACAGAGAATATGCATATTAGCTGTTTAAATCAAATAGAAAAAGACTGGCTTGTCTACTCGGTTAACTAAAGGAAATCTCAAATCTAGCTAAGTAGCCATGAAGACAATTATGTGGCGAGCTCGTCAGTTTGCACACTTAAAATAGGTGAAAGAAAATAGTCTTTCTGAAACACAAAATGCTCAATATGAAACCCTTGGTGTGTTGCTTTGGTACAGTGGTTCTGAAAAATCTGTGTATCTTCACACCGGTCCAAAATAAACGTTTAACACGCCCTCCACAGGTGTAGTAGCCCACGTTGCTTATCGCAGCTTTTCTCTCGGCTTTTTACAACGAACAGGAGGCGGGCGCTTGTGCTCGGATGAGATCAATTGGGTGCAACATTTCTTTTCCCTTATCGGGAGATCCGCACTAAATCGAGAAGCAGAATCGTCAAGTGACGGGAAAAAAAAAATGAAATTGGTTGGACTTCTTTTCTACAACCAATAAAGGGCACTTGGGCCCATGAAGGCAAAGGGCGGGGGCCTGAGCCACTGTAGCCCCCGCCCCCCCACTCTGCACGTCCCCGCTGAGTGATCCTGATCACTAGAGAATCACTTGATGGTGAAACTCTGTAGCCCCCAGGCCAGACCTGCTGTACACCCTGCCAAGACCAACAGCACTGCACTGCTACCCAAACAGCTGCAGTTCTACAGCACAGTAACACAGAATTTACTCTGCCAAGACCACACTTTCACTCTTGTCAGTACCAGCGGTCCATCCGTTGCTTTTGTCTTCTGCTCTGTTCATTAAAAGGCTTTGTTTCCACAATACAATACCAGGACTGAAGACGGGCTGTGTGTTACTGCTCTTACAGACTTTTGCTATGGTATGTTATTGGATTAGCACACTGTAGTGCAGAAAGGAGGCCTGGCATAGGAGAGCTTTGTGCAAGCTAGGTGAATCAGAGTAAAACCATGGTAAGTCTGACCACCATGTGTGCTTCACTCTGCAGGCTTGTTCTTGCTACAGAACAATCCACTCTCACAGAGCTTTCCAAGTTATAACTCTTTTAATATCTGAATTCCGTTACGATCTCAGACTCCCTCTGTTAGAAGTGCCTTTAATCTGCTCACAGAATGGTTCAGTGTGCTGACTCTTCCAGACATCAGCCATTACTGATAACTCACTTGGCTGGGAATTAATGCAGTTGTAAAATGTATGTCCATATACATAAAGGGTTATTATAAACTCAGAGCTGCTAGAGTATTGTCTGCTATGGCTGTTAATTCCATTAACTTATAAAACAAGAGCCGAAGAACAGAGAGGGCCAGAGGGAGGAAAGGCCATTCAAATCATTCATAATTGTTCAGCTTGTCATTTGGCTAATCTCACAGCATGAGGGAAATAACAGAACCTCCTTACAGCAGCTGCGGTTTCCTGGTGGTGCTTTTTCACCAGGGCACCTCAACAACAAATAGTCCTCTCCTATCACTGCGGCTGTCAGTACTGCTGCTGATGCCTGTTGTCTCTGTGGCTGTTCTACACATGGGCTCTGGTACACCTGCTGATATCACACACAGCCCCAGGTCAATCCAGAAGGCACAGAGCACAGGGCACAGAGCACAGAGCACAGAGCACAGAGCACAGAGCACAGAGCACAGAGCACAGAGCACACACACCGACAATTCAGAGACCCAGACTTACTAGCCGGCATGTTCTTATCATGTAGGAGGAAACCAGACAACCTGGAGAAAACTCACAGGAATGTGGGGAGAACTGGCTAACCCCACACAGGAGGCTTCACGGGCTAGAACCAAACCTAAGACCCGAGAGCTGTGAGGCAGCAGTGCTAATTATCTCACCACTGTGCCACCACCAGTATAACAGTTACCAGAAATGAGCCAGAACACCCACAACCACTAGAAAGGAAAATGTGATATTAACTATTTAATAGTTACCAATGCCCTCACTTCGCCAAAAGATCTTAGTGCTATTCCGGCATTTGTCACATGTGTCATCTCCAGAAGCTGTAGAAGCTCTCATCAATTGTGAGAGGAAAGCTAAATCCCATTGAAATTTGAAGCGGGTCATTCTTAGTAGGTTTTAGTAATTATCGCTGCACGATATCTTAATAGAAATTATTGTGGCACACCACATCCTGAATCACTACCAAGCACTCTGCAAGGTATCTCTTCAGCTGTGCACCTGAATACCTGCCTGTCAGGATGCACTGACCCGTGTGTCACGGAACAGCTTGCTTTAACTGAGCGAATGTCACGTTACCTCTTGATAAGTGGGCCGGACAGCAGGCGTGTGGATGGTTATGGGTTATGGGTTATGGATGGTTCCGCGTGTGGAATGTAGGGGTGCACCTGCAATCCTGTCAGAATTTGCCCCAGGCCAGTTCTGTACACTACCCCCCCCCCACGCCTCCAATTCTCCAAATTCTTTCGCAGCAGAGTGCGAGTCTGGTGCTCGGCTCTGACACTCTCGGCTCAGACACGCAAGTTTGCCCTTGGTGTCCCGGGGCGCAACCTCAACAGCATTCCTGAGCGCAGAGCCCCCGCGGCCTGGTCCGGCCCTCCACCCCAGCAGGGCAGGGAAACCTCACTGCCACTGCTCGGCAGTCTGAATCGCTCTGGGCTCTACAAGGTGCAGGCTGCTCCACACGCTGTGCTGGGGGTAAATATCTGGGCTGATTTCATTTCCTTTCCCATCTCCACGCCTGCCTCTGCAAGCTTACATCAAGGAAAGACCGTGCTTCCAACCTTGCGCTGGGCTGAGACGCAGATGGTGAAGAGGCGGCTCGCTCTTCCTCTCCTTGGCCTCTGGACGTGGCACAGGCATGACGGTTAGCGTTATGGCGGACACGCTGCCCATTCAGAGGAGGGGGACATGCAATATGAGGGGGAGTATTAGCGGTCAGGGGCTGGGAGTTGACTTTCGGGGATCTTGTCACCCAAAATCCAGTGTTTAGAGAGCATTGTGGGTCCAGTCCTGAATCGATCTGGGTCAGAACCGCAACCCCCCCGGGCCCCTGCTAGGCTCTTCGATGCAGGCTCACTGAGGAACAAGACCTCAGTTCCTTTCTTGTGTCTTGCGTTATTTTATTTGACATTATCTGAATTCCATCCTGATCTCCAACCTCCTCCATTATAAGTGCCTTGAATCTGCTCACAGAATGGTTCAATGAGAACTCTACCAGACATCAGTACAGCCGTTACTGATAATTCACTTGGCTGATAATGACTGCAGTTGTAAAACGTACAGTATGTCCATATACAGTGCTTATTATAAGCTCATAATTTCTATTGTTGACTATAGTGTTTCTTTAAAACAAAAGCCCTAAACCAGGAATACTCTGTGAATATGGTTCTGCAGAACACAGCCTCTGAACAGTGCCTACATGCAAAGTGCATGCTGCTCTGCAAATGATTCATGCAATGAGCTAGAGATAGGAGACACTGTAGATAGGCTTTTATTCCACATTCACAGCATTTCTAAAACTCTATTTCCCAAGCATGGGAACCTCATCACGACCCTGCTCTGCTCATCTCCCATGGCTGGTCTCCGAGCTGGCAGAATTCAGGACCTCATGGGGAAGTGCCACCTCTGAGCGCACATTTCCAGTCACCAGTGTCTGCCTCACGACGAGGGACGGCAGGGAAGCTCTCCCGGGACTCCCAGCTGCTGGAGAATGAGCCGGTCTGGGGATCACCGCTTCGATCCCCTCGTTTTCCCCACTCCCAAGCCACGTCGAGGGAGTGTGGATCCGTCCCAGCGGGATTCAGTGGGAGAGGATAGAGAAGTACCCCCACTCAGGCTAGTCTTAGTGCAGACCACATCGCAATGGGGAGGTCTGAAATGATCTTGAAAATGAAAATGTGCAACATGCCTTGTGCTTGTGTAACTGGGGCGCCGTCTCCAGCAGCATGGTGTCAATCGGACATCCTGCGGCTTCATCTCATTACTCAAGGCGAACTCCATGACCCTGGAACAAGCCTTCAGAATCCCCACGCCAAAGAACCGGACTGGGGTCTGCGTTTAAAAAGCCTTGATTCAAAATGAATCGCCTTATTCTTTTTTCAAAGTTTAAATCGAAACAGACTCAACTTTCTTAACCTAGTCAATTGCTCCTGCTTGCCCTGAAGATTTTTTCGTCGAAGCTTTCGAATCATGACTTTACTGGAGCGCACGGTAGGCGCTCACGGATGGCGGAGTCTGTGCGGGGAGATCTGGCACCGCCGAGCCCTCAATTATCCGGCGCATCAATAAGGTTCTAATCAGCAAAGTCTTAATAACAGGTGGGATAAGGCCTCTGCTCCCACAGGTGACACGCAGCTCGCTTAACCCAAATCCCCTGTCAAGGTGCGCGCAGGCCGGCCCAGCAGCTTGCAAACCCACATGAAAGACCGAGCTGACGAGTCAGCGCTGCGTGTCTTCTCCCGCCCCTTCCTCTCTCTCTCTCCCCAGAAACGCAGTAATGATCCCTCTCCTTCTCCCAGATTTGAACATGCACCACTTCAAAAAGCGCACCCTCGGCGGAGCTGTCAGAACGGGTTATAGCCCAGGCGGATGGGGTGCCGGAATTCGCTGCCGACTCAGGCATGACCGACTCGGGCAGAAGGGGATTAAAGTTTTAAAGTCACCACGAACCTTTTCAAAGTCTCTGCTGTACCAGCACGGTACGCAGACGTACTGTACATACACACACTAAACGCACTAACCGGAAGGCTCAGACGTTAGAAGTCTTTTTAAAACTACCGCTTTTAATTATTTTTTTTTTATCGCGGCATATAGGCGAGGCTTTAAAACCCTGCTTAAAAACGTTTTGCCACTTTACGCGAACAGCGTGTTTCTCATTGCACGCTTCCCGTAACATACATGACCGAAGGAAGGAAAGAGTGTACAAAGGCAGGTGAGCGGGCTCTTACCAGATAGCGATGCGCTCCTTGGGGTAGTCCAGGCGTTCAATACAGCCCAGGTGGAAGGGCAGGCTGTGCGCGGCGTTCCTGGCCAGGATCGCGATCAGCACTTTGGGCTTGAGCAGCGCGGACTCGGGCCGGGCTGCGCCCTGAACCAGGGTCATCAGCTCCGAGCCCGCTCCCGAGAGGAGAGCGGCGAGGAGGGCGGCGAACACCGCGAGGGACAGGAGCCTGACACGCGGCATGATTCCCCGGAGAGCACCGCTGTCCGCGACGACCTGGGCTCCGGCGTAGCTGCCTCGCCCTGCTCCGCTGCTCGCTCGGAGAGAGAGACTGGCTGAATGAGAAGGACTTTTCCACAGCTCTCTGCTCTGGGGCTGGCGTCTCTTCCCCCCCTCTCCCCCCACCCCCTCGCTCTCTCTGAACTCGGGTATGCAGTAGGACCCCCAGCTGGCTCTTTCAAACAATGTCTTCACAAGAGCAGCGCCCCGCCGACGGACCTCTGCCCCAGCTGTAGCCCCACACTGGGTCCGGCTCGGTGTGTGGAGCGCTTACTGGGTCAGCGCGTTAACGCGCGTTCCCATGGAAACCTCCTCTTCTGAATGTGCTACAGGCTCTAGTCGTCTTCTCTCAACTTTTTTCTTTTATCTTTCTGGTCTGGTGTTACGGGTTTAAACGTCATTCCAGTATTATCCCCCTAATCTCGCACTATCCCGCTTCACTGTATTCAGCGAGAAGAAGGGTGGGTGTTTTGACTAGTCTAACGATCCTAATTGTTTTGGCGTGTCCTGCTGTGTCGTCATGGCTGTTTGGCTCCTGTAAACCGGTCCCAGCTGACACGGTATTCCTGAAACTTTTATAAATCGATGTCGACGCCAGATTTGTGTAACGTATTAGAATTACACAAAACGTGTAGAAATACGCACTAGCACAAAAGCGCGACACAAGTCCGAACCTTTTTGCTACTGCGTTAAACAGAGCCCATAGGTGCTGGTCGTTTTAGGTCTGGTCCAGCTCTATCGTCTCAGACCGCTGTAGTCTGTGTAGGTCGCACTGTCCTGTCTCACCAAAGCTCTGGATTGAATGCTCTGGAGCCACCGTGTGTTTGAGTGATGTGTGTGGCTGGGCGCAGGGTCTCAAGACGGGCACGGTTTTAATGGCACCGGTCCCAGGTGCCAGTGGGAGGCTGGGTGCCAGACATTGCCAGATTGCTGCAGCAGTGACTACAATCGCATTTTTCATGTATGAGCGCAACCGATGGCTTTGCCTTGTGTCTCGTTAACAACTTCTCCGTCTATTAAAAAAATCCCATAAAATGCAGTGGGTGAGGATTTTAACTTCACGGCCAATTCGTCCAGCATTCCACTGTATTACCATTTATTTTAGTACTCCACTAATGTAATTCTTCATCTACTTCTTAGACTGCTAGTAAAATTGCTGTATTACTGAAGCATTTTGGATATCGTGTTGTGACAACTGTCAGTGAATACAGCCTGCGAACAAGCTGAGGTCGTGAGAAAACGTTTCAGCTGTGTTGCCTCTCCAGGTGTGTGGGGGTGAGGAAGACTGTGAGGGTTTGAGGATAGAGGAGACCGCAGAAATAACTTTGTGAGGACGGTGAGGGAGAAGATGAACAGGGGGCCATAGAGATGGAAATCTGCGAGACAAGATTCCAGAGGAACCGTGATGGGCAACAGTCTCAGCTAAGGGGGAGATTAGAAAGGGATTCGTCGATACCCCCCAGCCTGTTAAATCTGTTACACGTGGGAATTCTATTGAGTCTTCCACTGGAAATCAATTTCCATCAATTTAATATTACAGTACTTGTGCTGTCGGGACTGAGGTTCCACCAAGACACAGAGGGACTCATTTTAACCCCCAACTCACGAACACAGGACAGACTTCCTGCAGTTGAGTTCTTAGAGACCAGCTCAGTGTAGCAGCTACTGTAAGCGGCACAGTCCTGTCTTCTTGCCGAAAAACAACTCAGGAGCACCGCTGCGATCTGTACACACCCACCGAGCCGTCGTGCAGCGAAGCGCGGCTGCTGTATCAAGCACCTTGGAAAATGAATCCCCACAGCTCGGTTTGAGTGACAGCGCCTCACCCACTGGGGCTCACACAACTGTTCCCCCCGCAGAGGAAAAACACACTTCGACTGTGGGTAAAGAGGGAAAACCCAAACTGATTCGTCAGTCTCTCCCACACCCTCTCGCTCTTGCTCTGCTTCCATCGCCCCCCTCTTTGGATGAGCAGTTCAAAGCGTGAGGACACGACCGATGACCTCACTTCACAGCTGCATAGCACCCAGGTGGCTCTAAACACTGTAATAGAGATTGTCCAGTCATTCATTCGTTTGATTACATATTTAACCGGCAATGTTATAATCGGCATAGCTCAGCATGGTCTAATAATGTAGCAGTGTGTGTATACTTGGCAGAGCAGAGTGTGGTGTTTTGTGGCGCGGTCTGTTCGTGTGAGGATGGGTGTGAGTATGCTGTGTCGAATTAATCCGGAGGCAGCACACCAGAAGACCGGCTGTCGAGATGCTACGAAAGCAGACAACTACATGGACGATGGTACTACTTCAAACTGGGCTTTGTCCCCCTCTGGTGGAGAAATCTGGAACTCTCAAGCCTCACTCACTACACATAGCGCTGACCTGACTACAAGAACCAAAAAGCACTGCGAGCAGACTGGGAACGTATACTGTAAAGGGAAAATTTTCCAAATGTATACATTGGGCTTGTATTTTATTATTAGTTGTCAAAATGGAATCATAATTGTCACAACTTGTTTCGAATTGCACTATCATTTTATTCATTCTCTGTCTGCCCTAAACCCCAGACCTAGTTTCTAGTGACTGACAGGCAAACGGGCACACTTTGTAAGTTTTTTGGTTACTCGTCCAGAGTTTATTTTCTGTGATTATTGTGGTAGCGGATTGAATTGAAAATGGGATTAAATATGGCCACACGAATCGCTTGCTTTAAACGATGCAGGCCTCGGGTATTAAAGGAATGTTTAAGGCGGAACCTAAACTCTGTGCATGGAGTTTCTTGTCGGACGGAGATGTAGTCGGGCGCGCAGTGTTAGTAAGGAACATGTGGTTTTAGATACGGATAATTGTGAGTAAGAGCCGTCGGTCGCTCTGTCACAGCGATGCAGCTCTGATCGGTGGTCAGCGAGAGAGATGGACGTGGAGGTGACCGTGACCTCGGAAGAGGGGTGTGCTGCGGGTGAGCCCGAGTCTGAGGAGAGCCCCAGGGGAGCGGAGAGACAGCGAGACCTGCCCGCTAACTGGATACTGCAGCACCCCAAGGTACCAATTCAGCCGAAAGCCGAATTCATAACACTCGCTTTACAGTTGCTCTGCAGTAGACCTGCAGTATAATTACACACGGAAAAGGGAAGAGAAGAAATGATTCACTTGGTGAGGGGTGTAGAACAGTTCTTTTCGAGAGCTTTCTAGGTATTTATACACTCAAATAGCTGCTTTCTGCTGCTGTAGGAGCGAGTAGTGTCCACCCTGTAGTAGTGCGAATCTTCTAGCCTGATCTGCTCAGAGCTCAGAAGCTAGGCAGGCTGAGTCTGATCTGGTCTGTACTGGGGTGCGAGACCTCCAAGGAGGAAACGGCTGCTGGTGTTGGTGGACCAGTAGGGGGTGCTCTTCCCTGTGGACCAGAATGCAAGCCAAAGCACCCTTGTGGGGAACGGCTATAGGTGGAGCCATCCTGCAGATGAGATACTAGACTGAATTGCGTGGTCTGTGATGATCCCTCGGCACTGTTTATAATAATAACAATTGCTTAATATAGTGCTTTTCTGGGCACTCCACTCAAAACACTTTACAGGTAATGGGGACTCCCCTCCACCACCACCAATGTGCAGCCCCACCTGGATGATGCAAAGGCAGCCATAGTGCGCCAGAACGCTCACCACACACCAGCTATCAGTAGGGAGGAGAACAGAGTAATGAAGCCAATTCATAGATGGGGATTATTAGGGGGCCATAATTGATGAGGGCACATGGGAAATTTAGCCAGAATGCTCGGGGTTACACCCCTACTCTTTTCAAGAAACGCCCTGGGATTTTTAATGACCACAGAGAGTCAGGACCTCGGTTTTATATCTCACCCAAAAAACAGCGCCTTTTTACAGTATAGTGTCCCCGTCACTATACTGGGGCATTAGGACCCTCATAGACCGCAGGGTGAGTGGCCCCCTGCTGGCCCCACTAACACCTCCTCCAGGAGCAGCCTTAGGTCTCCCATCCAGGTACTGACAGAGCTTCAGTGGGCTGCCGGCTGTGAGTTGCAGTGTGATGTGGCTGCTGGCAAATTTCTCCTGCTCCACACCCACACCTGTGTGAAGTGTGCTGTGCTCTGCTCTGACGGTGACCCTGTCTCAGTACCAGGAGCTGATGAGCCTCGAGCTGGGGGACTCAGCCCAGGTGTATGCTGCCTTCCTGGCCTACGTGGACCTCACTGAAGGTGGGTGTGTGTTGGTGTCTGTGCGCGCTCTTGCAGTGGCTGCTGGATTGTGCCTGTGCTCGCGGTGCGACAGGGACTTTAAACTGCTCTGCGTGTGGGGTGCCTGTCTCTTGTCCCCTGTGCAGTGCGGCAGTGGCAGGATGTGTCCTGCAGGGGGAGCTCCGAGCTTCAGCTGGTGCTCCTGGAGGGGCGGGAGAGAGAAGGCCAGCCCACGCAGCTTGTCGTACCGGTTCCGGCCCAGAGGTCCATCAGTCACAGCTGGTAAGAAAGTGCCAGGTCAGAGGTCAGAGGTCAGGGGGCGGGGTTTGGCAGGAGAGTCTGGAGGGGGGGGGGCTTCTTGCCTCACCAGTCACAGCTAGTGAAACTTGACTCAGTATCTGGACTGGCTTCAGGAGGGAGGAGGAGTGAAAAAATGGAGAAAAGCAGGGCAGATTTCACCCCGTAGCCCAGACCTGTTTGGCTCAGGCCTGGCAGGTCTCATTAGCTGCTCAGAGGCTCAAACCACACACTGCCACCCTAGTGTGCATTTAAACCAGGGTGACGCTGTCATTGGAAACAAAATCACCTTCACCTCCTGAAACTGGGATCCTGGAGCAAAGTCAGTGGTACAGAGGAAAGGCTTTGATTTTTAGCCGCTGGATTGCGAAAACGGCGAGAAAACTTTCGGCTCCATTGCATCATATTCCTTAAATTGCTGCCAGGCCCCCTAGGAGATGAGAGTGAGTCACGAGGTGCACAGTGAGAAAAGAAGGACGGGCACCGTTCTGAAACGCGATGAGAGGCCGGCCGAGCCAGGGCAGTGACTGGAGAAACAGTGTCGCTGTCGCCCTGTTTCAGATGAAAAGCCAATCAGCTGTACAGTCAGTAACGAAGTAACGGTGCCGCTAATTGACTTAATGCACTGAAGCTAAAAGCCTCACCTCTAAGTAAAATAATTCTGTGAAAGGCACAGTTGGTTCTCTCTGCTGGGCTGTATCTCCATCAGCAGTGCACAGATGGCACAGCACCTCCTAAGTCCTGTTTTCAGAGACTCAGTGTCCCTGTTATATAACCAACACAGAACACTACTCTACCTGCCCTCTTGTCTGCTCATGTACACAAGTAACACATCTTTGAGCTTGCCAGCTCAGCCACGCCTGCAGTGTTTCAATCATGCAGGCATGACCGCCCTGCGCAGCGGTCGGGTTTTCTAGACCACTGGGAGCTGGAACTGGATCGAGCCTGCGGCGCCATCGCGTCTGCTGGGGAATCTGACCGCGCGGCTGTCGCGTGTTCGCGAATGGGTCCCTCTTATCTCATTGCGCGAGGGGCGATTGTTAGCTGGAAGGCGTGAGCACACACACATGTGTGTATATATATATAAAAGAGACCCCGGGAAGCCTGCGGACGCAGACACAGAGACGGAAGCTCTGTTCTGGGACAGCCCTTCGCCAGGCGGGCCCGTGATCTGCTCAGCTGCTTCCTCGCGCGGTGTCTGGAAGAAGACTCCCTGCCTCTTGGGAAGCCCGGGCTGTTTCTGAACCGGCAGCGCTGCGGTTGCAGTGGTGTCTCCTGGCCCCGAGACTCACAGGCTCCCTCTTCCCCTTGCTGTGCCTCCGTTTCTCTCCTGTCTCCCAGGATCCAGACGCTGCTGGGCTCCCCGGGCCCTGGGGGGGCCTCCCCAGCCTCCATGCTGCTCTGCGCTGTGGCCCCTGACTCCAGCCTGGTCTACCACCGGCTGACCGCTGGCCTGCTGACCCCCAGCCCCCCTGAGGACATCGCGGACCAGGATCACCGGCAGCACCGCAAGAGGCGCCTGCGCTGAGGTCGCGGGGTAAATGGCGTGGCACACAGGGCTCATGGCCAATGCTACAAGCCACCTGAGGGCATTTCCAGGTCACCACTGCACATAGGAGGTCCTGATACTCCAGTGGCCGGGTACCATTGAGGGGAGCGGACCCCGATTCTCAGGAAGCAATACCAAGGGGACAAAGCTTCTGGACACTGCAGACCAATCAGTTGTGTGGAGCCTGCTCTCTGCAGTGAAGAAGCCAGAGCTGTGAGAATCCGGACAGAGACTGATCACTGATCTGGAGGGAGGAAAACAGTGGAGAAGCAAGTCCCTGACACTTGCTGGGCAACTGGGCACCAACACACTGGCACCCTGTTTAACCTACACCATGTCCCCTTGACATTCAGATCCCCACTGTTCTGTACTGCTTCTACACTGGATCTGCTCAGAAGCGCTGTACAAATCAAGGAACTCACGAATCATAAATATTTTTTTAAAAGGCAGTGCCATTTTCTCTTTTTGTGAGCACCCCACCACAGACAGATGATGTAGTTTTAGAGTAACAGCCAGGAAAGTTTGTTTCTTTATGGGCTGGGGCTTGGCAGCTGCCCGTCTGCATTCCGCTCACCTCTGGAGTATGAGCTCACTAGCGCACGTTTTCCACAGGCCCAGGCCTCAGACTAGCCAGTGCGCCGTTCCCCTACTACCCACCAGGGGGCGGGAGAGCGCTTCTTTTGGTTCACAGTTGCTGGCGTTCAGGGCCGCAGGGCCCTGAGGTTTGAGCTCCAGCCCAAGCCCTAAATTAACATTGTTGATTTGCTTAACTAGGCCTATTTAGCATGATTTTGGCAAGGTTTCGTTTTGGGCTGATGCTTTAAATGAGGCGTTTCGTTTACAATATAGTAGCTGGAAACCCTTGAGGCTTGAGGGGAAAAAAAGTGCTACATGTTCCCAGTTAGTCAAAGACGTTGTTCCGTGAAGTAATGGAGCGTTTGGCTGGAGAGCAGTGGCCGACTGAAGGATGGTAAAGTCCCAGTAAACTCCTGTGGTCCTGCCCCGGGGTGTTGATATTGAGTATGAGGAATGTTTGAGCTGTTTTCTTCAGTTACTTTTCAGTAGGAGCATGCAAACTTTTATGCTGCGAGTCAGTCGGGTCAAGGAGCAGCACCTGAGATCAAGCTGAAAAGGTGCCGGCACCTTTCCTTCAAGCTTTAAAAGACAGTGCAGTACAGGGATTGGGACAGCAAGAGTCTACTGTTGTAGACATACTTATTAGCCTCTGGATCTGATCTGAAACTGTTATTTACACATTCATTAAGTAAAAATACTGTGTCAAATTATAGAGTTGAGAAGGATACAGTTGCTTATAGAGGATGTAAAGTTTGCAGACATTATTATTTGCACTCTGGATCTTAAAGGAGTTAATTTAGCAGAACATCCAAGCCCGTAACTTTCAAGGATGAACGGCTGAGAATGATCAGGATTATTTTAAGGGGTGAGGCTGCCAATAATTTAAATAACCAGCACATTAACAATGATTAATGACTAAGATTGTTGGGCGATAGAGATGGCGTGTTCTGGCCTGAGCTCAGCGCTAATGTAACAGATTTGGGGTGTGGAAAGATAACAGTGGAGGTTTTTGCTCATTTCTATCAGCACTTCGACACATTGGAGAGGAGACATACAAGAGCAAATCGTACACCATTCTTTCCGTTTTAAGGGCAATTTAACATCCCAGTGCTGTCTCTTAAGCGCCCTAGTGTTTGAGGTGCTGCACGCCTCCCCACGCAAATTTCACCCCAGTGTCCAAGCCTCCTGGGGGCCTGATGTCAGCAGACCCCCGAGGAGCAGTGTTGGGAAGCCAGACTCCATAATCTGGACCAGTGGCCCCTGGCCAGTGAGAAGGAGGGGAGGGGGCTGCTTGAGATCAGCTTTCGGGTGCCGTCTGAACCCCATGCTCCTAGCTGAATGGGTGCTCCAGCCGCCTTACACCTGACCTCTCTGCTCCGATTTCTCAGGTCCCCACCTGTTCTCCCAGGTAGGGAGGTGCTGGAATCCCCCCGGGCAGGGTGCTGCAAATGCAGAGGCAGGACTGCTCTGGGGGGTCCTCTGAGTAACAAGCGAGAGGAATGGTTCATCTTCGCGTCTGCCTGGAAAGGTGCAATTAGCGTTCCTTAACAGAAGGTTAGCAGATGACGAAACAAGCTCAGATTCCATCCAGCTATCGCTTTATTCTAATTACTGGGACGGTGCAGTCGATACGTAGAGGGGGGGGGAAAAACAGCTAAGCCTGGAGACACCTATTGTTAAGCCTGGCAAACAAACCGCGCGCAATTACTAAAGAAACGATCAGAAGGAATAATTATGTGGTAGCAGTCGGATGGGTGCTATTTAAGCTGCAATTGTCCGTTACGCTGCAACGCCTCTGTCGGGGAATTAAAATAAGCAGGTAATGCTTTCTTCCATGTCAAGAAGGGGAGCGCTGAAGCCAGCGTTAATGTTAGTCTGTGTCTTTTTGATGCACTTGACTTTTAAAGGCAAGTAGTTCTGGTGGCAATTAACTGTACTAGCAGTATGCATTAAGCACTTACCCTGTGTGACTCACCGCCCAGAGAACTGTGGGCTCAGCAATAGTTGCTGAGCTATCATGAAGATACCTGGGTTTTCCAACTCATCCAAGATGGATCACAAGGCGGCTCCGTTTTAACACACAGGGAGTCACAGCCTGGACTTGAACTGGGAAATTCCTGACAATAAGCCCTGTACTTCAGCTACTGGACAGAAAGCCGACTGTCAGCGTGCGGTATCTGTAATTGGGTTAAAACGCTGTCTTTAGAATAAGAATATGTTAACACGATCGCTGACATCTGTATTGACGAAACCCCGTCTTTATAAGAAGATGCACATTTGACACAAGCTACTGTGAGAACCTCGGTGCTGCCCAGTGGGGTTCTGGAACGGAGATCCAGAGCAGGGACGGGTGAGAACAGCACGTCCCAGGACAGACACCCAGGCTTCCCACTCTTAAGCAGAACGCCAGGCTGCCTGTCTCCAAGACACAGCAGCTGCGCAGTCAGGACCTGAAGCAATAACACTCCAGGCCCAATTCATCTCAAGCATGCAAGCGCTTGCGTCACACATCAGCTGACTAGAGCATGGAAAAACACTTCCCTTGAACACGTCCAGCTCCCGTTTCCCCATTTCTCTCATGAAACAGATGCACCCAGAAGCTTTAAAGCAGTAAACAGCATCTTTTTTTTATGGCTGCTGCCATACTCATGGAAAAACTGGGTGAAAGAGGCCGTCAATCCTGTTAAAGGAAGTGGAGTACATGGTGATTTAATTACTGGAGGTTATGTTCACTGTTTGACGAGGACTATAAAAGCTGCAGGGTTGAAGGGTTCGATTACTGACGTGCTGTAGGCGGTGCGAGATGGGATTGGACCTGTGAGCCCAGGTACCACGGCCCCATTTGAGAGTTTTCGTGCTCTTTTTTTAAAATACATTTGTCATACAAGCCACCACACCGTTTAAAATAATCTGATAACATCAGCATAAACACAAGCACTAATCCTAACCCAAACGCAGCTGAAATTACATGTAAAAAGCAGAAATTGGTACTTATTAAGCATACGGTATACACCTGCTATTAGAGTTGTAAAATGACAGTTTCCAAGGGTTTTGTCTGCATTTTTTCATGCCATGAGTAGACCTGGGCTTTGCACTGCCTCATGTGTGGCTCCAGGACTGGAGCAAGCTGAGCAGAGGCAGGAAGTACCTCTGCACCAGCAGTGACTGCAGACAGACCCCCTGCTCCGTGTGCTGGGCTGTTCCCACCCTGCTGGCTGGGGACCCCTGGGTGTGCACCTGCTCCATAAAGACCCTGTCGTCAGAGGGGGTGTGAAAGAGTCCCTCCCAATCATGAGTCCTGGTCAGGAATAGCGTCGGGAACGGAGAAATGGACAGAGACAGGCCAGAGGGACACGAACGTGGGGAGACGTGCAGACACGGGCAGGGACACACTAATTGGGGACACAGGCAGAGAGACACGGGCAGGGACACGAACATGGGAACACAGAGACGCAGGCAGAGGGACAAGCTCTTAGTTGTGTGCAGACGTCGGTAATCAGACCAAGGACTCCGAGGTACAAACAGCTCCTGTGTTTTTTTTATTTTAATAGAAAAAAAATATTTAACAGAGAAAAAAAAAGAATCCAGTCACCATGAAGACAAAAGCAAGACCAGAGCTGTGTCTCAAATCCCACTGCCACACTTGGAGTAGACCCCCACTCCCATCATCCTCCAGGGCGTCAGAGGGGGGCGACAGGGGCTGTGTGTCCTTCACCCAGGGGGAGGGGGTGTGAGGGGTACTAACCGGGTTCTAAACCTGTCCCTGGAGCATGCAGGGGGCAGCCGATTCAATGCTGTCATGTTGGGAGTGGAGTCCTGGAGAGAGCCCTGTTGAGTGTGTGTGTGGCCGCGTGTGCACGTGTTTGTGCCCATGTGTGTGTGCGTGGAGGAGGGGGTGGGGTCTCAGGTGGTCAGGGTTGGAGTTGAGACACACCACAAGGGCACAGGAGCCCTGACCTTTCAACCTTTGATCTGCAGGGGGAGCCAGTTCTGCAAGAGAAGCTGAAAAGAACAAGAAATAATAATAATAATAAACATTCGAAAAGAATTCCAAAATAAAACGAGTTTCTCTGAAGGCAGGAGTCCACAGACCCAGAGTGACCGCGCCCCACCTTGTCTCTTTCTCCTTCACTCTCCTCTCCTGCCCCCCTCTCTCTGTCCGTCTGGGGGGTCACATCCTGTCCGCCAGCACACCCCCCGGCCTCCTCCGCTCCTCTTCTCCTGTGGCTCTCCGTGTGCGGACGGGGAGGAGGAGAGAGGGCTCCCTCTCTCCTGTGCTCTCCTGTGGGAATGGGCCTCGGAG